AATACTCGTACATCATAGAGACGAACATATCATCGTCATCACTATCATCGAACGAAATTTTTTTTTTTTTGGAATGTATTGAAAGTATATGGAATAGAGAGAAAAATGGTGATTAAATTTATAAACAATACTATGAATTTATAGGTAATTTTTTTTATTAAATGCTACCGTTTTTATACGTTCAAATGGAGGAAAATAAAAACAAAATATGCGTTATCGTTCGTTAAAACGCCAACGAAAGACCACATAGGCAGTGTTCCCCATGGTAACGGCGTTAAAACTAAAACCATGACGAGAGGCAACGGCCCTATACCGACCCGTCTTAGACTCAGTGACCTTTTAATCATTTATTAAACGGCACTCGCTCGTGGGCATAGACAATAAATATAGGTCACTCACTCCGTCACTCTTTAGCAATTCCTTCCGCTACTCTCTCTTAACCCTCTTTTTCACGGCGGCGCGTATCCATCAAGCGCTTTCTTACTCCTTCGATTTTACTTCGTTTCACCGCCATTTCCTACCGGGATACACTGTATCTCCATCAGGTAGTTTTATGTCCTTAAATCGTCGTTTGCTTTTTTTTTTTCAAATAATTTGCTGATGCCGCAAGCGTCGTATCTCTGTGTTTTTTTGGATTATCTTCGTCTCTAAGTTTCTACTTCATTTATAGTATACGAACACTATATTCGTTTGATCTTTATATTTTTTACTTCAAACCTTGTCTCTGACGGAAATATCGATCTTGGTGTTTGAAAAATGCTCGCATTGAAAACCCTGATTACGGTTTTTTAGTTCGACGACAAGTAACCACAAATCAAAACTTGTATAAACCGAATCAAACATTAGGGTTTGAGGAGTACATCGGTAAACCCTGCGCTTTCAGTGATAGTTGCCGTGTTATTCGGTACTCGTGATTTTATCGAACATTAGGGTTTGAGAAGTACATCAACAACAGAAGTTAGAAGTTCTATCTTAATCCGTTCATTCGCGGTATAATCTTGGTTTCTAAGTAAGATTAATGGCACCTATAACACATTAACATTGTCATTTCTCATCCGATCATTGATTCACAGTCAAATGAGACTTCTACTGATATTTCTGTTGTTTTTTCATTTCTGTTATATTTCTTTCCAAAATCACTCATCAACTGATGATCAATAAATCAGTGGACCAATGATTTTGAGTTAATTCACAAATTATATAAGGGTGATATCTTTTGTGTTGCAGATGAGTTCCAAAAGAGGTGGTGGTCAGTCTAACAGAGGCGATGGCAACAAGCCTTCACCCAAGGGTAAAAACATAGCCAGTGGTTCTAGCTATGATGTTGATCAGTTGAATCAAGCAGTCCAAGATGTGAACCTGGATCCAAACCAGGATGGTAGTTGGGAGGTCATCTCCAAAAAGAACAAGAACAAAACTGGAAATGGTGCTTCTTCCAAACAGTGGGCTGCCCAGACTCCCAAACCCAATGCATGGGGTCAAGGTCAACCTGATACCCAAAGAACTGGTGGCCGGGGAAACGGTCAGGCCAGGGCTCCAAACAACACATGGGCAGCAGCTCAAACAGGCGGCAGAGGTGGAGGTGGTGGTGGTGGTAGCAACTACAACTACAATGGTGCTTCAAATGCAATTCCTCCACCTCTTCAGAGTGGATGGAATTGGAATGCTAGGCCAGCCAATGCATGGCAATTGGGAAATGATGCTGGGAGGAGGGAGAATGCTCCAGAAGTTGTTATCCAGGAAGATGTTGAAGACCACAATGACATTGGCGAGATTGATGGATCTGATGATGATGATGATGATGATGATGTTCTTTTGACTGATGAGTATGATTCAGATGAAACCCCAAGAACCCATGAGGTCCGAAAGAAGAACAAATGGTATTCCGACTTTTTTGAAACTTTGGACAGTTTGACTGTGGAGCAAATCAACGAGGCAACCAGACAATGGCATTGTCCCGCGTGTCAAAATGGTCCAGGTGCCATTGACTGGTATCGCAGCCTCCCTTCTCTCGTGACACATGCAAAAACAAAAGGGTCAAAAAGAGTCAAGATTCATCGTGATCTAGCGGAAATTTTGGAGGAAGAGTTGCGTAGAAGGGGAGCTGCAGTGGTAGCAGCTGGTGAGTCATATGGCCAATGGAAAGGTCTCAATGAAGTTGTGAAAGATAAGGAAATTGTGTGGCCTCCAATGGTTGTCATCATGAATACACAACTTGAACAAGATGAGAATGATAAGGTATGTTATATGTTACAATATCTTCACTTTCTTTAAAGTTTAATTAGTTTATGCAAACTGACACAAACCATTGTGACTCAGTGGCTTGGGATGGGGAATCAGGAGCTTCTTGATTACTTTGGGTCATATGAAGCTGTGAGGGCCCGACATTCTTATGGGCCAAAAGGGCATAGAGGAATGAGTGTTCTGATATTTGAATCCTCTGCAGTGGGGTACACAGAAGCTGAGAGGCTGAGCAAGCATTTTGAACATCAGGGTACGGACCGAGATGCGTGGGATCATCGCCGGATTCTGTTTTATCCAGGTGGCAAGCGACAGCTGTATGGCTACCTGGCAACAAAAAGAGATTTGGATTTCTTCAATCAGCATTGCCAAGGTCTGTTGAGTTTACTTTTCCATTTCCATTCCATTATGTTTTGTTAATGAAGATGTATGTGAAATGGCATTAGGGAAATCGAAGCTGAAGTTTGAGTTGGTTTCTTACCAAGAAAGAGTTGTGAACCAGTTGAAGCAAATGAATGAAGACAACCAACAACTGAATTATTATAAGAACAAAATTGCTAAAGAACAAAAGCATTCGAAAGCACTTGAAGAGTCGTTTGATTTTGTGACTCAGAGGCTGAGGAAGACTGAAGAAGAGAACCGTATTGTGAGGGCGAGAACACAACGCTACCATGAACAAAACAAGGAAGAGGTACACTCACAACTTGTGTTTATAAAATATTGTTGTCTGGATAAAAAATGATATAAATTTTTTCATCTTTTTTGTTCAGATGGATTACCAAGAGCAGTTCTTTAAAGATCAGCTGAAGATAATCCATGATGCTAGGAATGCAAAAGAAGGGAAGTTTGATAAGCTCCAGAAGGAAGAGCGCATGAAAGTTGAGCAATCTTATTCTGTGGTGGATCCTCAGAAGAGGTATCAACCACCATACTTCTGTTTCTTTGTTTCTTTCATTGGGTAGCTTTTTTTTATCAAAGTAGAGAAAAAGAAAAAGGGTATGTAATGTTATGTTATAATATGCAGGGATGAGAAGCTTGAGGCAATGAAGGAATTTGAGGAAGAGAGGGAGAAGCTGATGAAAGCTCTTGAAGAGCAGAGGACTGAAATGAAGAGTAGGCACTGGAAAGAGGAGATTGAGCTGGAGAAAGGGTTTGATGCTGTGCTGACTCAATTGATGGACAAGTACACCAATAAACTTGAAGGATGAATGTCTGATTAGTATTTACTAAAAGACCTATCTTTAAAAACATGTTAAATATCCTAAGAGTAAGGTTCCATATTTGGTATTGAACGTATGAGCTATGAGGCATATATATATATATATATATATATATATATATATATATATATATATATATATATATGTGGTTTACTTGCTAATTGAAGTTTAGACATTAAAGTATTTGAATGGTTGCAAGTAATATATATATATATATATATATATATATATATATATATATATATATATATATATATATATATATATAATATTAGTTATTACTTAATACTCGGTTGGGTGGGTGGTGAATGTTGTTTTGTTGCCCTTTCTCTTATAATGCGAGGGCATCAACCTTTATAATTTGGGCACCACCTTATGATTTTATCCACTTCTTTATCTCTTGAAATAAGTAGTTTCCGTAATGGTTTCCATTTTTTTTACTCTTAAAGTGTATGGTCTAATAACAAGATTGTACTTGCACCTTGAGGGAAGCTGCTAATCACACAATTTTGTAAATAATACAAATTCACAAGGTTTGTGAAAATAGATGACTTATGATTTACATAAAAATAAGTTACCAAATTCATCATACAGACGTCTTCCAATCAATAGGTTGCAAAAACAATCAAATGTAAATGCAATGCAGGATGGATATGTAAAAGCCTAAAGGAAGAGATTGAACTGAACACGATGGTTTCTAGTGGTTGGTGACGATTCACTCTCTCCATCAGCTTCACTCATTGATCCATTAAAACATTATATTTAAAGGTTGACTGACATGACACAAAACTGATCGTTGTAAACTTGAAGAACCCAAGTTTTGTCATTTTAGAGTTGTATCTCAATAGAGTTCTTTAGATAATGATGAGCAACAAACAAAGCCCAACATCCACCTCCAAAAAAAACGAAAACTTGGTTCTCTATGTAAGAAATAGTCTGAAAACCCTCGGAAAAAACTTCAGTCCATAAAATAATATATAAACTCTTATCACTTTGACAAGTAAAAATTAGCTTAAATAACCACAATTAAGCACGCACATGAGAATTTTAACCTAAACCATTTAAACATTGTGATAGAAAGGTAAATTATAACACAAAGTCACAAAGTAGTTCATCAATTAGGTTTTAGTTTTACAAATTTTTTGTTGATCACAAAAAGTCAACTACAAATTACCACTGAAATACCAATTTTGAAGCATATACGAATTCAATTCATGATAGAATGAAAATCACATCCCAAGGAGGGGCACACGTCTGATGGTCTCCACCACGAGTTTTGCAGAGTAGATACCACCTTTGGTTATGTTTCGTGGTTTAGGAAAAAACGTGGTTATGCCCCCAATCAGTGTCTCCGTACACCATTACACACTATAACATTTTATGCAAGTTATATCAAACATGCAACTATAATTACAAGTTCTTGTGTTGCAATTTTTGCATAACACTCAATAGACACTAAACCTAAAAGGCTACCATAAAACTTGCACCAAATAGCTTAATACTAAATAAATATAAGCAACTATAATGACATAATAAAAGTTGTTGAATGAGTAATAATTTAACAAGTTATGGTAGACAAAATTATTAACTCATGTGCATTGTCCTCACTCAAATGAAGCAATAAAAACAACAACCATGTCCAAACACCAACACCACGAAAAACAAAATTAAGACAAAAAGAGAAAAAGACATGCATACCCCCCACCCAACATAAATAAAGATTTCACTTCACTAAGCCCGAGCCCCCCTGTTTAGACTCACCATACGGTTAGACCCGTCCATCTGACCTCCCCTAGCGGAGGAACCACCATAGCCCCGCCCAGCACCGCCATACGCCGTATCCTGATACCTCATGCTCTGATATCCGCCTCTCGACTGACCCGCCCGATCCCTCTGATACTGACCTTGACCTTGACCTTGACCTTGACCCTGACCATATCGCCGCCCTTGCGAGTAACCCATGTTATTATCCTGCCACTTTGCACCACCAGCAGCCGCCGCATAGTCCTGACCGCCTTCCCGCCGCCTGGACGGCAGACCGTCTAACCCGCCGCCACCAAGCCTGGCCTCCACTGCCCGCTCATTGCTCTCAGCAAGAACCGATAGCTTCTCAGTCAACTGGAAAGCCAGACCTTGTAATCGACTGTGCTCAACCTCATGGAACACAATGCACCGTGTCGGCTGGTCCCAGCTGGCATGAAGCTCCTCCCCAATCATCATTTTACTAACAATACAATGAGTTTGACTTTCCGAAAGGTCAAACATCTTTGCCAGCTGTTCTAACTTTATTGTCTCGTAGGATGCCGAGTAGGTGAAAAGGTAAGTCCTGAGAGCTTCTTCTTTGATTTTGTTTTTTAGCATTTCAAGGACGCTTTCGCGGTTTCTAAGAAGCTTCCAGACATCAAGGGAGTTAATGACTTCAAAAGATTTCTGGAAATCACCCTTGCTGAGGGCTCTTGTGGCGGCCATGACGTGGTCCCGCACGTTCTCCGGCGGTCCGGTGAAAGTCTGGCGGTCAGACACCTCGAGCAACCGCCGGAGAGTCTTGCTGATGACTTTCCGCCTTGCGTCGTGGCTGTTTGCCGCCATGTTCGGGACCTCCAAGAGCATGGCACAGATTAAATGGACCGCTTCAAGAAGTTCCAGGTTGATGTGCATGTGGTATGGCATCTGCCTTCTTCTTTCCAACCGTTCCTGCACAAATCATCATATTCAAATACTAAATATCTATCTTGTGTTTCCTAGGGCTTTTTTTTTCAATGACAAGGGCATTTACGTCCTTTTCACACAAAGGAGTGATTGAGAGCAAATCATTGTCCCACCTTTGCTCCATCTTTTTGGGTTGGAGAAAAAAAAGTTGCAATTTTTGTTTCATTGACAGTCTGTCTCAATCCCAGTCCCAATGCAAATCAAACAAAGTACAACATGTTCCGTCTGGCTTGTGTGATAAACGGGGCCAAAGGCCCCGTTTATTATTCAGAACAAACTGTACTGTGTTTGACTTGCATTGGACTGGGATTGAGGCAGACCGACAATGAAACAAAAATTGCAACTTTTTTTTCTCCAACCTAAAAAGACAAAGCAAAGGTGGGCCAGTGATTTGCTCTCAATCTCTCATTTGTGTGAAAAGGACGTAAATGCCCTTGTCATAAAAAAACAGCCCTATAAAGGTTTGTCTAACATGAATACAATAAGCTATATATGGGTGTTTCTTTCTTACTTAATAAAGAAAGGACTTAATAGTAACTTGACATAGTTTAACAAAATAAAGGTGATGCAGTTTATTCAAGTCAAAGTTACCTGCTCAGGAGTCTTCTCATGATAGCGACTTTGAGAGACACCTTGTGCAAGAAGTTCTTTGACCCTACCACCAGAATACAATTCAGAAAGACATCCATGTCCTTCAGCAATAAGTCCAGCCCTAAAAGCACACAGACCAAGCTGAGCCATAGACCTGTTAAAAAGTATCTGAGTTGAAATATCCATATGCTGAACATTATCCTGTAAATGACTCATTAGCAACAAGTCACGTGATGTAGAAAACTCATCCAGAATTGCATGGTGATAAATATCACAAAGCATTGCACGAGCCTTGGTTCTTTCATCACCATGTTTGTATATAAGGGACACCAAAATATCCATCAACGCCCTGCTACTATCTGGAAAACTAGGTTTTCTAGGGACAATTTCGGGAGTGTTCACAAAAGCAGGTGGGCCCCGGCTTTCCTCCTTTGTTTCAGCCCCTGATTCTTCTCCTTTATCCTCTGATTGCTCAGCCAAATTCCTCATTGCACCATATACTTCTTGGGGTTTGTAATACACAAGCTCAACAAGCTTTAAAGCTACTTTAGCTGCAGCTTTGTAATCCCCAACACGTTCAAGATAAGCTTGAACATTTTTTGGGCAAGGACAAAAAACAAGGGTTCATCTTGAAGCCTTTCTACATACTCACGTGTGTGAGGATCAATGCATTGTAGACTTTTGAAGAATTCAACATCTACTTTTTCAAGAAAAGCTGCTAGGTTTCCCCATATGCGGATAGTATCCTTAAAGTCTGCTCCTTTTTGGGTTTCGTTCTCATCAGGCTCCACAGAATCATCAACAAGAATGTTTGGATATTGCTCAAGGATATCAAGTATCACAAGCATGTTTTGAACACATTTCTTCCAGACATTTATAGGCATGTGTCCACTGAGACCTGGGTTGACATCAAACTGTGCAGACACAACACTGAACAGGATCTCTAGCTTTTGAGCAGGAGTTTTAGCCACTTTGGTCAAGAAAGTCAACTGTTCAACAAGCTCGAGCCTTCCTGTCCCCTTTCTACCACGAGCTGCAACAACTTCTTTGAACTTCTTGTTGACTATATCCCAAGTCACTTGGCTTGGATCTTTAAACTGTTTCTCCATTAGCTTATCTTTCTTGTTCATCATTCTCTCCCCAACCAGGTTGGTTTTCATCCATGTCCTCATCATGTTCATTGTCATCTGACTCGCCTTCTGACTCTGTCCCTGACTTTGTTGGGTCATCAATCTCTGAACCAGTATCATCTTCATCTTCATCTTCTGAAGGCTCTTCAGCTTCCTCTTGATCCTCAAAGCTTTCAGGATTTTCTCTACATTTATTGATCAAATCCTCATACTGCTTATTGTTCTTCTTCAACTTCTGTCTCATTGCATTCAATGCCTTTGCATTGCTGCTACTCATCTTCTTCTTTGCTTCCTTATTTGCCATGGCTTGATTCAAGAAGTCCTCCAGCATCACTAACGCCTTGACATAATTGTTGGGGACCCTATCGGATTCTGTCACCCTCATGACCTTCTCAAGCTGCCTGTTAATCTTGTCAAAATTCTCCTGCAAGTTGACCCAATCATTGATCTTCATTGCGTTCTTCATCTGATCAATGGTGGTAGACAACTCCTCAAAGCGTTTGTCTTTTGCAGACTTGATAACACGCTTGTGCATGTCTGAATCATCACTGTCGCTGTCCCCAGTGTCAAGGTATTTGTTCCTATCAGGTGCATTGGTAGCATCTTCCTGTCCTTCATTAACATCGTCTTGTTCATAATCACTCACTTCAGACTCAGTCTCGCTGTCAGCCTATTGATGTAGACAAAAATTAGAACATGAATCCTCTTTAGCATATTTAAACAATTGCTCTTAATAAATAGAAAGTTAGAACTCCGTTAAATTCTCTTGATTTGTGCATAATCTGGTTCGCGAATGTAACGAATAAAGTTTCAATTGATCTGTATTTATCATTGAAGGCGAAAAAACAAACCTGATTACTCCAAAATTTTGACGCCATCTTCTTATCTCACTGACAAACGTATAGAAAATCCCAGTAAACCTAAATCTGCACGATGAAATGTAAATTCTTAAAGAAAATCGAGAGAAACAAACGACAGTTATAAGAATAAAAATTTACAAGATTCAAATCTTATGAGAAAGAGTTAAAACCAATCGTTCGGTAAACGAATAGGATAAACGAGATGTTTCATGGGTTTCGATCTGTAACTAATTAAAATACAGGGGGAAGAGGAGAGGTTGATGGAGGTACCAATACCTGCAAATCGGCAACTAGCGTCACGGGAACGGATGGAGTCGGCGGTTTAGGGTTTTGAGTGTGTGAGAAATTATGTGTGCCAATTGATTTGGGTCAGGATTCGGCGAGAGGTATCTGGACGGGAAACTAAAATAAATCGTAACAAGCAACTTTTGAACGCAGGATAAAACTTTATTACCTTCAATTGTTCGACGACTTAAATATATCAAAGATAAAATTTATTTATATATTATAAAAAAATATAATTTATAGCAAGATTAAGTTTAACTATACATAACAGTGGTTTTTAGTTTGTTTATATATATGGACAAAACATTGTATATTCATGGGCTAACTATAAAATTAAGAAGTATAAAGTTAAGAAGTCATTAGGTAGTATTTCAATGATTCGGTGTTTTGAATGATTACGTGTCTGAATGAAAACATAATGTTTATCAGGTCTTTGAATGACCGTGTTCAATGATGAGAGTGATTATTTAAATCATCTAAACTATTTTATGTTGAATAAAATGTTCATGTTTAATAAGATATCTAAATCAACTTGTTGAGGAATTATAAAAGTTCAAAATATAAAATTCGAATTAAACATAAATCTTTTAAAATAGAACATAATACTTTACATGCAAATTTTGCTCGTACCAAATGAGATGTGCAAATAAAATAAATGATTCACTAAGAGAAAACGGTATGGGCCATCTTGTGCTCGTTATTGCCGATGTGGACACGCCATAACAGCATTGTAACGAGGGGAACACCCCTCCCCCCTTCTCGTTGCTTCTCGTTGTGGCATATCTCGTGCTCGTTACAACTTGGCAAAACGCATAAAATTGAGACGTTTGAATAAATGGACTGTAACAACGGTCAAAATGTTTGATATTAAAAAAATTACCTTTTAAACCTTTATATAAATACAACTTTCACTTCTTTATACATCTTTCTTTCTCTTTTTCTCTTATATTTTATAAAAAAAAAATCATACTTTCTTCTCAATCAAAAAAATGGAGCAAAATCCAAACACCCCCCCCCCCCCCCTCCATCATCAAACCCAAACACACAACTAAACACAACATCGCCTCTCGGATTTGCGGGTTATGAAAATTAGTTCAACCTTTTATCGTCTCAAGGATCACCACAAATCTCATACCAAGGCGCCACTTTCAATCCCGCTTCACCACCACTGTAATTTCCTAACTCACCTTACCTTCAACAAAATCTATTTGGTCAAAACCCAAATTTACAACAAAATATTTTCCCCACTTTTGCTTCGATGCAACAAACAATCACCACCTCCAACACAACCATCGGTTGAAGTGGAAGCGGGAGGTAGTAGGAGAGGGAAATGGAAAGGAAAAACGAAAGGGAAATCGATAGCGGTTGAAACGGAAAATGCAGACGTTCCACAATGGTGGACACCGGAGGAGGAATATTCTTTGACGGCGGCATGGTGTACTACTTCAAAAGACGAACTCCGCGGAAATGGAATGAAGAAAGGTGCTTATTGGGGGGCGATGTGTGAAAAAATTCCACGCTATGTTGAAGAAAAACCTGTATCTCAATAATGACATGTTAAGCAGAAAATGGAGTCAAATAACTAAGTGGTGCAGCAAATTCAACGGTATTTACAATCGGCTTGAGGCGCAACAGCAAAGCGGAACCAATGACTTCGATTTTTTCAAATCTGCAAAAGAACAATATCGGGTCGAAATGGGACATGTTTTCGAGTTTGAGAAATCATGGGAGTTGTTGAGAGCAGATCCAAAGTGGAATAAAACTCCTACATCGTCAGATGTTCAATCCAAAAGGTCTTGCAATTCGAGCTCGGTCGACGTGTATGACGCATGGACTCACATCGACCTAAACGTCGACACCGATGATATCCCAGAAGATATCAAGGAGATATCCTCACCACGACGACCGCCCGGACGCAACAAAGCGAGACGCGCTGCAAGGCATACGGAGGAAGTTGAGGCGAAAGCAAAAGATACAGCGGAAATGAGAGCGAAATTCGATGAGCACACTTTATTAATAAAAGAAAAAATGACTTGAAACGTCGTCACTTGGAGTTTCTAGAAAGGAAAGCACGAGATAAGCAGGAGCAAAAAGAAAGAGAGAGTGAGAGAGAGAGAGAGAGAACTAAAGACATATCAGTTGTTAATTCTTCGGACTAGTGATGATGGTTTGGGGCCTGAAGATCTAGCGGTGCTACAAGCAATGAATGATCAAATTAGGAAGAAGTATTTGGCTTAATTAAGATTAATAGTAAAATGTTATGGTTTTAAGTTTAATTTAAATGTTATTTGGGTTAATTAGGACTTAGAAAAAATGTTATCTTTTGAAATTATGTCTTTTTTTATTGTAATCTTAATTTTAGTTTTTAAATATTATGTCTTTTTTAGTTTTTTAAATATTATATTTTATAAAAATGTATTTCTTTTATTAATTTAAAAAAAAAAGACAAACAAAAAAAAACAAACTCAGAAAAAAAAATACAAAAAAAAATATGACATGGAAAAAAGTTGGTGTTACATCTTGTTATAACATGAAAACCATTCCTCCACTTGGTGTTACAACACCATTGGTGATGTGGCATATGAGGTGACACCATCTAGTTGCCCACACCAATACTCTAAAACACCACCCATAAAATTACTAATTTTAAAACATATTGATACTAACTTGCTAGCCATTCATATTTTTAAGTGAAATACATTATATTTTAGTGTGCAATAAAACATATCATAATCCATACATTAAAAGAGACCATGACTACAATGTCTACCAAAATGTAAGGACTTATCTATTAACGTATAAAGAAAACCAAGTTCTTGAGGACTGCTAAGGAATTGCATGCTTGGACAATTTTGCTAGCTTTTTTTCCAATATGTTTTTAACACGTGGGTTTTTTAAACTTTTTTTTTTAAAGACTTTTTGGGTTAGGTTTTCAACTTTTGGATCAAAATTTATTGAGCTTTTGGTTTATTGGTTTACTTTTCTTTTATCTTCGAGGAGCCCTACACATTATAAAAGAAAGAAAGATCAATGCCTCCTCACACCTTCATCTGCGTTTATGTATTCCTACTTTTCAGGGTGTCAATTTGTGACATCCACTATTTTTCAGAAAAAAAAAACTTTTTTTATGCTTTCAAAACCATATCATCTTTGTTTGCGGAAAATCCCTGTATAATAACACATTTTTGCGAAAATTGTTTCGTTTTATTAAAAATATCTTTAAATAAATATGTTGTTTCAAAATTCAAAAACTCTAAAGATGTCATAATCAATACACAACATAAGTTACAACGTAAAGACCTACGGTCCTGAAAACTATTACAGACTGTCTCTTAATCACTCGACATCCTAATCAAGTTCTAGCAACATTATCCCTGTTACCTGTGATGCATATAATTTGAATGTGTCAGGTTGGGAAACCTAGTGAGACACATAGGGTTTTCAATCCCACAATATTATTGTGATAATAATTTATAATTATCAAACATTCAAAACCAATTGTTACCAAACAATATAGATATATCTTATAACTTAGATATCTTAAAACATTACACCCATATATACTCATCCCAGCCGATTCTCGCAAATCCTAGTTCACGATAATCAGGAAGAATCAACTCGCTTGATGAATCGTTTAGAGCAATGGTTTGACTATACAGTTAGGGGCTTCTGTGGGTGGTATAACATCCCAAGATTTGTCATTTATAGTCCCTGGGGATGGAAGGGTAAAGCCATGAAAAGCCTAAGGGCTAAGTTGCAATTTTGGGACCAAGAGGAGTACGTTGCACGTACATAAGGGTACTAGGGGTGTTCGCGGTGCGATTTGGTGCGGTTTAGAGTTGAAACCGCAAACCGCACCGCACATGCGGTTTAAGTTTTTTGGAAACCGCAAACCGCACCACAAAAGCTCTAAACCACATTATGCGGTGCGGTTTCATGCGGGCGGTTTGTGCGGTTTATATGCGGTTTATGCGGTTTGATAAGTTGTTTCAATTTATAACTTTGGTTGTTATTCATTCCATTTAAACACTTTCAAAATTTATTAATTATGTTACATACCCTTTAAAAGGCATAGATATTGCAAACAAAAAAACCACATAATGTTTTGCTAAGTTGTTATGACTTATGAAATTTGATATCATAGTCTTTTAAGTCTTTAATTACCTTATTTAACCATCGTGATATAGAAAAAAGTTATTGGACAGTATGAAGTATGTGGTGATTGGAAACTTTGATATATATATATATATATATATATATATATACACACACGACGCGGTGCGGTTTGAACCGCGGTTTGGTTACTATAAACCGCAAACCGCACCGCATAGTGCGGTTTGACAAAATTACGAACCACAAACCGCACCGCGAAATTCTAAACTGCATTATGCAGTGCGGTGTTGACGGTTTGTGCGGTTTTTTGCACACCCCTAAAGGGTACGCTGAGCGTACTAGGCGCGCCCTAGTACGCTGGGCGTACATTTGTGTACACTGGGCGTACTCATATCAAAAGGAAACCCTAATATTTAGGGTTTGGGTGCTATATAAACAACCTTATGAGCTCATAACCCTCCCTTACCTCGGCCTCCACTGCTTAGAGTCATTTTCCCCAAACCCTAGCCATTTCCTTGAGTGTGTGAGCTTATTGAGTGTTTCTTGAGTGTTTTAAGAAGAAGGTGTTGCATCAAGGAGTTGGAGAAGAAGACCAAGCTTGTAGATCTGAAGTTGGTTTGTGCCCTAGAAGCTCCAGAAGGTAAACAGCTTCAAACTTTATGCATATATGTATAGATCTTTCCATTTTGCTTTAAAGAACCATTTCTTGTCCCACAAAGTCCCAAGATGGTGCATGATGTGATTTGTACGAAATGAACTGTCCTTCTAAACTCTTGAAGGGGTTTTGAGTGATAAAAATGAGGTCCTAATGGATTAAGATGTCCCATGCAAGAAGTATGAAGGTCTTAATGGATTAAGACCAAGTATTAAGAGCTTTCTGGACGTCCAAAGTGATAAAGTTTGTGACTTTATGGGTCCTAGGCACATTTGGTCACTGGATCTGAAGTTTGGGCTTAAGTGCTTAAGCCATTAAGCACTTATTAAGATTTTGGCAAACCACTACAT